TTCCTGCTACCTCATCTTAATGGACTGTATCTCATCTCTTCTGATATCTAATCTGATTTTCATTTACTCCTCAGCACTTATATCTATTATTTATTTCATCTAATCAAATTTTGTTTTATCTTCTTATATAATTATATCTGGTCACATAATTTATCTCTTTGTCTCATTTTTATTTATCTTCTATATTTGGTCAAACCTCCATGTATGTGAATAGGCTGAGTGTGACCAGAGCTGAAGTACATAACCCTCCACCCTACCTTTGATCAGGTGTTCCTCCAGCCGTAGCTCCTCTTCGTACTTCAGGTACTCCACCTCCTGGCTGCGGTGCTTCTTCCCGCTGCGGTGCTCCACCCGGGCGCAGCCGGCAGCGGTGACTCTGAGGCCAGTCACTCTGCAGGGCTGCGCTGCCTCCAGCTGCACAGAGCCGGACACTTTGTCCCCGCTACTATAGAAGGACTTGCGCGGCTCCGAGAAGCGCAGCTGGAAGAGTCTGAGCTTGGTGCCCGAAGACAGAACCATGCTGCTGGGTAGCGATCAGATGTGTGAGTGAAATACGAAATGTACACAGTGGAAATTTAGATTGGCTGGGAAACGAAACTCTGAAGTTAAGATAAAATGTCACTCGCAAAGACAAGACAAGTCAGATCAAATGAAACATAAGACGTCTTACGTGTCGGTAATCAGTCTCCGGTCACTTTTATGCAGGTGGGGAGAGAGAGAATGAGTTGTCCCAGTGTCCAGTTACCGTCTCGCCGAGAAGCGCGTGCACACAGCGTGTACACAGCAAGGTACCGGAGGGTAGAGCCCTGCGATTGGTCAGCTTGGGTTTGTTGATGGAGTGTAGCCAATCAGAGTACAGAGAAGACGCGTGGACAGGTCGTGCCGCGGGGGCGGGGCCAGGAACTGGAAGGGTCATCAAGAGTGAGAATAGAAACATATTTACTGCAACAACAGTAGTAATAATACAACAACATTACTGTCACTGCAGAACGGCAGGCAACTGTGGTAATATTACAACAATATCACTGTCTCTGCAGTACTACAGTAATCGGTTTACTGCAGTATGTAGGGTAATAGCCTAATTCAATGACAGGGTACATTTCCTCCAGTAAGAATACAATAATAGTATTTTCACCTTCAAGGTACACATAGCAAATTTTCCCAGGGCGTTTGACCATTGTGGAGTTGCGTGTGTTGACATGAGCTCAGCAGCAGCTGTGACTTCCTGTCCATGTAAAGTGATGCATCATAGTTATCATAGGACTACGGGGATAGTTGAGAGTTCCAGAAAAATGGCAGTAAGGGGACCTTGAGTTGGGATGGTTTTGTCAAATAGATGGGAGTCCTGAACCGATCATGATGATGAAGCTTAAATTCGAAATCGCAGCTTACAGTAAGAGCAGTGAGGCTCAGTGGGCGAGTAGTAACCCCCTGAGGTGTCCCAGTATACAGAGGGAACAAAGTCTCTGTAAACAAACGGGCCATTTACAAAGGTCTCATGGTGAAAACTTAGGGAACATTATGAAACTTCCTGGAGACCCTGGAGCTGTCTGAAGGGGTCCCTGCGAGTCCCAGGACCTCACACAGCTGTGTAGGCAGAGCGCTCCCTGCTGGACAGACCACGTCAGCTCTATGTTCAGTCATTACAAAGAGGAAAATCTACATTTGGACAGGATATCAATTTGTTTCTGAGACCAAATATCAGGTTTTCTTTAAAAGACTAAACTTATTTCAGTTGCACCCGGTGAGTCACTTTTCATTTGGACTGATCTCTGCAGAAAATCAACATGAAGAGAAATCTAGTGTTACATCTGATTATACAATACAATACAATATACTTTTATTCTCAGTTTAAACTGAAATTCTTTTTGCAACCTGGGCTGCTCCGCCCAAATATACATTTAGCAAAACAAATAAACAAAAAAAGTCAACATAACATATATTCAACAGAACAACAGAAACATACAACATTCTCTGGATTCATCCTTCCAGATGCTGATTTAGTGGTGGTATTGACTGATGTTCTTCAGTCTGATTCACTTAAACTGAGGGACTCCAAATCATCTGTTGGAAGGCAAAAGTTGATATTCTACATTTACAGCACGTGAGGAGTCAAAAGACATTTTCGGCTTCTAGAGGTTGGCCTCTTATCTTTGAAGAGACACAAACAGCTTAGAATTTCACAGACAAGTTGTTAAAGAGCCCATGGCATGCTTTTCCTTGTCTTCTGACAATGTTATAACGGTGAATTATCATCTTAGACATGACCTAAAGCTCAAAAATGAGGTGTATGTATGTTCTAATACTTGCTTTATATACTTCTTGCAAATTCTCGCTTGGGAGACTTTTTTCTAACTAAATAAAGTATTACATAGTTTAAGGATCTCCTTGAATGGTTATAATCTCCATGCCATTGCACGTTCATGTGAGCTTGCCTAACATCAACTGGTGCACCCAGCATATTGGTAAAATATAATATTGCCTTGTTTATGTATATTTTCAATAATGCTTATTAAAAAAAAAGACATCCAAGGTGCCATTGTAAAGGTGGAATTTTTCAGTGACCACCGGTTGGACTTACTGACCTTGGACCTACTTGAAAGGGAGTGATCTTTCCACTACTCAGTGGAACTTAAGGGTAAGTTTAAAAAAAAAACACACGTTACATATCTGTTAATGCCTTGTTTCTGTAACATTAGAGAGAATTGTTGTAAGGCTGGAGAAGTTACTATGTCTGCATTATGCCAGTTAAAATATGGGGTTTCTCAATTACCCACTTTGTTTAGTGTTGTACATCTCTTTTCATCAGTACACATACCGTTGTTTACCTATCCTACCTTCCTACCTGTTAGTAGGAATAACCTATACCAACAGATAAGGTATGGATTAAAGTGTAAGTGAAGCATTTTAGAGAAGAGTAGATTGGCTAAACTGTACTGAATGCGGAGGAAAAGTCTAATAAAGAGCTCTGACATACATTTTCATCTTATCGAGATGTTTAGAAATGAAATAAGTGAAACCACTGCATCTTCTGTACTGCAGCCTTGTTTATATGCAAACTGAAGAGCATCAGATACATCTCCTATTGCTATTTTGAGAAGTTGAACCATCATTTTGCCAAAGATTTTACAGTTACAAAGGTGAGCATTATTGGTTGCTAATCATTATATTCCTGAGGATTTTTCCTCGGGCTTTTCTAAAAATGTGTGATTTCAGTGATTTTTACACTCAAGTTGAACACAGTTGTGTGGCATTAACATTTTTTAATACCTGCCTTAAATGGAACCTGAGTCCCCAATGTCCTGAAATATAATTTACTTTTGTGTACACAAAAATTATGTGTGTGTGTGTGGGTTTGATTATTTTAGGTTCAAAATATTTACTTTGTGAAGGATAAACAATGTATACATATAAACCTCTAAATAGATTAATTCTACAGAGTGGAGAAGGCTTGTAGAAAAGCCCCTAGGCTAATCTGATGCTTTGAAAGAAACAAGAAAACTGACTGGAACTCATCAACGCTGTACGTGGTAGACACTTGGCGATGGTCATGTGCTTCCTCACCTCCTTTCTTTGTGCTTTCACACGTTCACAGTGTTTCTTCAGGTTTATGAAATACATTTTTAAACATGTCAACAATAAAAAGGTTTCACTGTTAAAATGTTCAACTGGTACTTTTATTACAGGTACATGTGAGTGGAACAGATACAACAGTATTTCAGCGTGATGAGCTGCAGTTCCTCTAATGGCCACCAGGTGCTGCTGTGATCAAACTAATGAAGCAAATGAGAAAACCGTGAAACTCCTGCAGTGTATTAAGCCAAGTTTGGAGCTTATTTACAGCTGCAGGATGTAGACTGTTGCTTAGAAACAGCAGCTTCGCCTCAGAGCTTTACAGTAAAGACAGTTGGAGTCTGAAGCTACCCTCCCTGAATAAAGACTGTATAAATAAACTCAGAGTCTTTGAGGTTTGTCAGTACAGGCAGGATCCTCTCAGCCTGATGACCTTTGACCTTTAGGATCCATCCAGTGTCTGTGACTGTCATCTGTTCAACTTCTCATCAAACCTGCAGGAGATCAGAGATTCAACATCAGGAGAACTGGAATATCTGAACAATGTAAAGGCATCTTCTGACAAGAGAAGTTTATAGAACAGAAGCAGTCAGTAGCAGCACAGTAGAAGTATAGTGGAGTTACAGCAGAGGTCACGCTCTTACTGGTGGATGGCGTCTGGAATCTGTAGTCTGTCTGTGGGGATGAATTCAGAAAGCTGCTGGAGATT